CCGGCTGAACAAGAAATACCTTCTGGTACAGGAGAAAAAGCAGCAATAAGAATAAAAATTCCCAAGAGGTTTCTGCAGTAGCATCAAGAACGGCATTATTTTATAATAACAAGAACTTTTATTTTCACAATTCTAATGATGACAATGGGCTTCACATAATTCTAGCATACTGGATATTTTTTGCCTTCTGTGACAAATTTTTCACAAATACTGTTTTGTGTATTTAGAGCATCCACAGACAGATTTAACCTTAGTTAGGTTGGATTCAAGAGATGTGAAGCAAATATATGGTCAGTTGGTGGAGGAAAGTGGCATTAGCTCCTTGAAAAAAGCATAGCAGAAGATTGCCAAAAAAACCCCAAACCGAAAACCCTACTAAGTTCAGCTGCTGCATTGCTGGATGTTTTATCATCGCCTGAGAGAGAAAATGTGCATTTTGAATACCCAGAATCAGAAAATATTAATGGATGTTGCTAGTGCCTTGTCTCCTAAGGCAAAGGCGTCTATTTCCCAATCATATTAGTTTATATGGAACCTGGTTTACAGAACAGGCATCTTAAAATGATCCTGAAGATTTTGAAGTATTTACATGGACATTAAGAGAGAGACAGAGGAATTCAATCAAGTTATGGTAGTAGCTTCATTTGATTAAATTAATTGAAAAACACATCTGTCTTTCCTGTGCAACCATGAATTTGTAAAAACCAACTTTATTATAGTTACAGTTTGTTTATCAAAATTCCATTTAAGTTCCCTACATCTCTTCCTTTTTTGTTTTTTGAAAATACATTTTTAGTTTACTAATATGTATCCATCTGTAGATAGTCTGTAGAACACACCTTAATCTTTTATTTTACAATGGCTTTAAACTGTAATATTTACTGTTAAGGCCCATTTTTTCAGCAGCTGCATTTTTACAGTAAAAGTGTCCATGGATCTATGTTGTAATCTTATAGTTAGAGCATCTGAAATGCTCTAATCTGCTTTTGTATCCTGAAAACACTTGGACCTCAGTACATACAAAATTTCCAGAATGTTGCACAGAATTTAAAGAGAAGAGAAGAGATAACGTACTTAGGTTACCAACTGACTGATTGCTAGCCATCCTGTAACTTTCATTGCATTGAATTATTTCTTCAGACAGTCATCTTCAGAAACATGGTTTTCTGGAGAAAGAAGGAAATCTGGTAAAGTTTATTCAGTTGCATTTAAGATTTGTAGAGTATTTATGAATACTGCACATTATCTTACTCTGTGATCTTAAGATTTTGCGCTGGCAGTATTTTTTTTTCTTAAGACATCCCAAGAAGGGTGGAAGAGGCATAGTCTGTGACTAACACAAGAACTCAAGTGACTTTGAAGGACAGCTCCATTATTATTCCCAGGCCTGTTCTTTTTGAAAGTATAATAAATGACAAATACATAAATTATTTAATGATTGAAGGGATTTTAACTGAGTAAGTTAACTTCATTTTTTGTCTTTGAGTCAGGGATGTTTTTTAGTAGAAAGTAGTGCCACAAAAAAAAACCCCAAAAAATCCAAACAAGATGAAGCAGCAGTGAAAAACAAATGAAAAGGAGGCTCATAGCCATTTAAATAGTCAATATTATATTGATATAGTAATCATTCCATACAGTCTTCATGGGGCACCAAACAGGATGAGGATAATGGTGAAAATTACTTCGAAAAAAATGCAGTGAACTAAAGATAATTAACAGTATAAGAACTATCACGGAAGATGTTACACAGTGTGAAGACTGAGAATGGAAAAAGGAGCTGTTGATATCTAGCTGATCAAATGCTGCATTTCTTTTTTACAGGAAAAACTTAACAACTTTGATTTTTCTTTACTGACGGTTTTAGTTGAACACAGAACCGAAGGAGTTTTAATGTGCCTTATTATGAGTGATTTATAGCATCTGTGCTGGCCTGTATTCAAGAAAAGTTAATATGTTCTTTTTATACTTCTGAAGAGCCTGAAGGAACAATGTTGCTAGAAGAAAATGTTATGTGATTTCTGTGGCCGTTTTTAGGAGCAGGAGTATAGAAACAAGGTACAGGTCTACTCACAGGCTTTCCTGACAAGGGCAGGCTCAAAGGCACAGTTCTGTAACTCAAGGATTATCAGGCAGTAGATCTGTAGGTAATTCAAATGGGAAAATATACTGTACTCAAACAGAAGAGATCAGTCCCAAGTGCCTCTTAAATCAGTAGCTGCACGTAGGCTTGACAAAAATATTTGTTTGTTGCATAATTTGTAGTGCAAGCCACTGTATTGGTTGATGTCCCACTCATCAAAGTAGCTGAAAGCAGGTCAGTAAAGTGGTTTCATAATAGTTTGCAATGGTTAATTGTGGGTTGAGATAAAGTCGATGCAAATGATACTGCTTACAGATCTACTTGGAGTTAGATTCAGTTCGATGTAGTGGCACGGCAAGGTAAGCATGTGTTACCAGAGCATGTCAAGAGGTGGGTAGGATCTTTACACACAAGGGTGATGTTGTACAGCATGTTTGTGGATCATTTTTGTGTACGTACTTCCTTTCTGAAGATAGATTTAATACATTACTTAGGATCAGGACTGAGCAGTGTAAACAAGAAAGCAGTGGCTTTTTTGTTTTGTTGGGTTTGTTTTGTTTTGGGTGTAGTTAGCAGGTACCTGTTGGACTCAGCATTCAGGATAATATGCCTTTGCATTTTGAAAACGTATTTATTTCTGAGTACATGATGATTTTTGCTTAAACTGTTGTTACTTACTTGCTAGAAGGGGTAAATATTTCATATTTATGGTATAAGCATTGCGTGCTGTATATTCTTTTGGCGTTGAGGTTGAACAGCAGTGCTTTATTGTATTCACTTTCATTTTGCCCTGCCTACATCCCCACTCTTTACAACAGAACCCAGGTCTCTGAGACAAGCTGGGATCAATTTCCTCTCTTCTGCTACCCATTCTTTTTACTTTTCACTATCAGTAGGTCTGTTTCTTATTTCTAATAAATGTATCTTATGACTACTGTGCATTTTTAGTTAAAGGGGTTAAAAATGCCAATTGTAGTCTACCCTGAGATAAATGTAGATATTATTGTACCAGTGTCAGCCTAATTTTGTCTTCAAAAGTGATTTTTGTTCTGTTTCTTAATTTGCTATAGACATGCTAGACATTTCAAATTTCAATTGAATTAGTGTTGTGCTATAAAATAATTCAAATGTTGTTGCCCAAGTTCTGTTGTTTACTTTAGTGAAAATATTATCTATTCCAATGAACTAGTTTGGATTTACACTGGTGTAACATGAACGAACTTGGCCATTGCTCTGTTCTGTACGAGTAATTAATTGTGTGTATGTCTGATGTAGGTGTGTAAAAGGGGATCAGAGGAAAATGTTATAGTAGCTGCTAGAGGTTGCTTTCTGTCTTCTAATCCTAATGTACTGCACCTTTAATTTTTCCCTTTGTTTTATTGTGTTTTGTACTCATGGTTGATTTTTTAATTTTTATTTAATTATTTATTTATTACTCTGGACAGTTTTATTTTTCTTTACCTGTTACTTCCTTTTTAACCTATCTTTACTTTTCCTGTCATCTGATAATTCTGAATTGTTTGTCTGTATATAGCTATAGACATAGATGCCACTGGCTTAGATGCAGAAGAAAATGATATTCCAGCAAACCATCGCTCCCCCAAACCCAGTGCAAACAGTGTAACATCACCCCACTCCAAAGAGAAAAGAATGCCCTTCTTTAAGAAGGTAACACCGACTTCCAAGCTCCCATCTGTCCACCTGCTCACCTGCACTGCGTCACATTTCTAGTCCTGTTAACTGTCTGCGTCCTTTGACAAGCCAGTAACATGCATGCTTTGTTGTTCTTTGTTTCTTTTCCATGCTGCTGTAGCTAAGCAGAAGCAGAAATCGGTAAGTTCGTATTGACATTACCTGTGTTTATCCTGCCACTGGCATCATTAGCATTATTACCCCAGATGAACAATGCAGCTATTCTAGGATTAAGGAAGAAATGTCTTGAGCTGGTAGTGGATTCAGTACGAGAAAACAAACGCTCCCAAGTTCAGTGCGTCTGTGAAACTCTGCTACAGTACTTGTCCTTTTTGATGGAATAATAGGACACACTTAGAAGGCCTTCTAAAAGAGAAATTTATTTCTAACAAATCCATATAATGCACCTCTCTAGTGCATGCTTATTCTTTCTATCTCTGTCCATCTCGAGTTGGGTTTTTTCCTTATAACTCAGTCTGTTGAAGTTGTTACTGGGATCTAATCAGATACTCAGTTTGTACTTAGAAAAGAAATAGTCAAAACCGTTGTATTTTTAATTTAGTCAGTATTTAAATTTCTAATTCACTAGGTGCAAAATTTGCAGGTGAACAAGACCAGTGGAAAATGGCAGGCTTGTTTTGATGGTTTACTTCGAGTTTTTCCTGTTGTCATGTATAAATTGTCAGGCAAATGTTCTTGCCACCAATCAGTCAAACTTTCTTACTATCTCAGCTATTGGAAATGGTACTGGTGGTTCCCAGGAGAGCTAATGTCTCTCCATAGATAACCCAGATAACTACACAGTTATGCAGTTGGCATTCTGTTACAGCAAACTGCAACACATTTCTAGGATCTTCGCTGGAATAAGTTATCAAGACATTAGGGAGCAGACAAACTATGCAGTGAAATACCATATTTCTACTTTTTTGCTTTTAAATCTTAGCCTTCATAGCTCTTCCTCATTTGTTTTTAACCACTCACTTAAATCTGCAGGTAACAACAGACTGTTATAGTGCTTATAAACAGTGCCAAGTGACACTGTTGCCATTGCTGAGAGTGGATGCTCTCATGTTTAGTAAATAAAACTTTTTTCCCTCTCTCTCTCTCTTTTCTTCTTGAACTCTTTTAAATAATACTGGATCCTTCTCATTTCCAAAGTCACCAGTATTTGCCTCAGTAGGTTCTAAGTACCGTGTCATTCACAGCCCTCTACGGAAATCAACAGCAGTTTCTTGCTTCTGAGTAAATTCATATTTAATCATATTTACAACCAAGTATAAATGCTAAGGAAGAATAATACATCTTGACAAGTATTGGACGTTATCTGCATACGCATCTTTTGAAGATGCAGCTTCCAGATGAACCACACTGGACCTGGATGGTGGCTAGTCCCATCTCTCTCTTCATTCTGTGGTGCCTCTTTTCTTCCGTATCGGAACCGTTACTGGTTATCATGGTTTTTGTAATACTGACATTTACAGTAGATACTGGATGGGCATCCCAAACTAATCATGCATAGTCAAACCACTGAGCAAAAGCCGTATGGTCAGAACTATGCTAGTTTTTATTCCAAGTTCATATTTGAACTTGAATTTGCAAGTGAAAGCTGTATAGCTCAGTGCCAGTCCCTTGGAAAATATTAAATTCTCTAATGCTATATTACTTTAATGCTGCCATTAGATAACTTTTACTCAGTTTTCTGCTGATAGCTTCATTATTTCAAGCTGTGATCAGAGAAAAAAAAAAGCATGTTTTGACAGAACAGATTTTTAAAATACCCCATATTCCATCAAATAAGGTAACGTCTGTGCTTTCCCCAATTTTCAATAGCTGGTTGACTTCTAGCATGAATACCTTTGGTTGAGTCAGCCACATTAAGACAAAGATCTGCTACACCAGGACACACATGCTATAAACACTTACACATCTGTAATGAATTTTTCTTAGGATCTGTCCCTAAGAGATCTATCAGATTATTAGTAATATTAGCAAGAACAGTGGAGGGCTGCATTTTGACACTGGCACAGCATAATTGCAGGGTTTGAAATGTTTTGAGTCAGATTCTGCATTGTGTAAAATAAATTCATCGCACATGCTTATGATGCCTTGGGCACTAGTATTCATTCTTACGTTACTAATTATCTGGTGAAGCTACAGGTAACAAAAAATAAGACAAATTAAATTGAAAAACATTCACAAAAATGTTTTCCATGTTTTAGACTGCTTTAGACTGCTGCTTGTGTAGCATTTTGTGCTGTCACTGTATTAATGTCTGTCTTTGTGTTTTTGTGTTTTGGAATGTATACATTTATTTTAATGTTATTGTGAAACACCTTGGGATACATTGAGTAGTGAAACAACAAAAAATGACTGTATTCTGTGATCTTGACTGATGTATTTGTACTATGTAGGCATTTGAAAAATAGATCTAGCATACCTTTTTCCATATCACCCACACGTTCCTGGGTTTGGATTTCAATCATTTTTTCCCTAAGACAAAGATAAACTACATCCTCCCTTACAGACAAAAAACTCTTTCTGATAAGATTCATTCTTGGTGATATATATCGAATATCCATTTATTAAAGAAAAAAAAAACAGTTTATTTTGTTTATATTTTATTTTGAAAACAATACAAAAGTTTTTGAAATCTTTGGAAGCGGGCAGTCTTTTTACCTTTGTATATTAAAATATTTTTATAAATTGTACACGATACATCAGTAAGTAGTTTGGTGAATATTGTACTAACAGAATCCATTCTTGGGTAGTGACAGGAACTTCCCAAAGTGGAAGAATTGCTATCCCAAGTTCTGTTTATGAAAATTTTCTATAAATACTAACTTGATCAGTCATTATTTTGATTTCATCTGCAAGTGAATTGGGGATGCAGATGTGGAAGTCAGACGATGAGTGCTCCCATGGGAATTTCCAGTGGTGTCACAATGTTTTGCTGAGCAGTGGGCAGATCTGAACATAAGAAGAGATGTGTTATGCTTCCCCTTCCCTTCTTGTTTTATTTTTCTCCTTCATAATTTGCCTACATAATATTTTGGTGGGAAACAAAGGTGTCACAGCTCTAGAGTCAGTTATTTCAAATCATTAACTGTTAGAAATAACCTTTTCAGTTAACCAGTTAGGAATTATGGAGTGGGACGTGTGAATGTCTCCAGAATAAGTTTTGTAGCTATTCAGAGCAAATAGGAAAACAGCGAGAAAATAAAAAGTCAGAGAAAAACTTTATCAAAAGAAATCCCTGAACCTGTTACGTCCTTACCTTGTACTACCAATTTCTGGGAAAAGTTAATGAATCCATGATTCTTGTGTTGGTGACATCACTGGAAATTCAGAGTTCCTAATGTGTAACACTTTCTCTAGGTGCTGTGTTGCTGAAAGCTTTTTCTGTTTTGCAGACAGAGCACATCCCTCCCTATGATGTAGTGCCTTCTATGCGACCAGTAGTTTTAGTGGGGCCTTCTCTGAAGGGATACGAGGTAAGTGATTGTTGTGAATCCTTTTATTTTGCCAGAAACATTGTGCTCCATTTGTGTTTGAATGTTCAAAGGTAGTTAAACTGAATAACATAATTTATATCATAGATAAAAACATAGGCAGTTTTTACTTCTACCAGATACCTGCTTAACCTGTATTTTATTTCATATCAGAATTCAGATTAAGAATAAATTACTTACATTCCAATCATATTGTTCAGATACAAGTTTTACTGTCAGCTTTCTTACATATTACTATTAGCGTCAAGTATGAGTTTCCAGTGTGATTATTAATTTGTTGTTTGTTTGCTTCTAGGTAACAGATATGATGCAAAAAGCATTATTTGATTTTTTAAAACATAGATTCGAAGGGCGGTAAGTACTTTGCAATCCAAGTCTACCTGAGTTCACGTCCTGTTTAGGTACTACTGGGTTTTTAAGAAATAATGACATCTTCGGCAAAATATGTGTAGGAAATGAGGAATGGCAGCTAATTCCTTGTTCAGTGGACTATAGTGCTTCCTTAGCAGAGCACGCTAAGGCTGTATTGCAGTGCAAAGTATGCAGGAGTGTGTATTTGTTCAGGGTGGAAAAAAGGATGTCTTCTTGTTCATGACTGACATTCATACTCCAGATTGCTAGATATTTATCTACAGATTTAATAAACGTGTACTATTAAAAAAATCTTACATTTAAGTATTTTTAAGTGATATCTGATCAATGCTTCCTGGGTTCTATACAAGCTGATGAGGGCCACCGTTCCACCTCAGCTGTAGCTGCTTACAGTGGCATCTAACTTGGAAGGAGTGATAACGAGATTCAGACTATCTAATATATGTGATTGTCAAACTCATGATCTCTCAAGCTGGGAGCTGGGTTTGACAGTAGTGTGAGACTCTATAATGGGAAGCCTCCAAAGGACTGCTGGGGGGATGTCAGTACCCCACCTTGCTGAAGTACGGTCACCTTTGGGAGCAGACAGGCTGCACATCGCTGGGTTTTAATCTGAGTGGTCCCCCACAGCGTATTCGGCAAGGTCCGATCTGATTTGTGTTTGAGCCTCCAGGCATTACTGCAGTACCAATATCAGATGATAATCCATCTCTAAAAGCAGTGGCATGTTGTGTGGTTCAGACATTACGGACCCATGGAGCAGAGACTTCAGGTGGATTCTCCACATGTGATTATATTGCTACTGGATCGGGCCACAGATCAGTGTGTGCTAGTGGGTTGACATTTGGGGGGAGGAATTGAGAAAACGGGAAGGTCTTGATATAGTATCTGTAACTTCAGTGGATGTTCTGTGTACCTTGGAAGCAGGCAGAGCAATAACACTATTCTATGTGTCCTGGTGCTGTCAAACTTTCAAGAGGAAGCATGAAGTTTTCTGTCAATAGCTTCAGCTCTTTAATATACCAGACATAGTGGTTTAAGCTGTTGGATTTTCTCAGTCAGAATGGTGATGTTGAGACCTAACTGCTTGGTAGTCCTTTATATTATGGAGGGTTGTCAAATCTTGGACAGGTACCTACAGAACTGGAAGTTAACCAAATAGTGAGTGTTGCAAGCAGAAAAAAAGTTGTTGCATCTTTGTGTCTTAATGTATTTTAGAGCGTATCTAATTTTCAGTTGTAGATCAGTTGTGGCAAGGTGAATCCACAAATACTCTCAATGCAATTGATACCTATAGTAGCAGATTTGAAGCATCACGAACTTCAGTAGCAATCTGAATTGGTACTCAAGGTCCTCAACAGATGGGTACAGGAGGTTCTTAGATTCATGCTGCTGCTTTCACTGCCACTCTGCTGTCAAGCTGTCACCACTCCTGTTGCAATTGTTTCGCTATATGAACATATATACCCTTTATTTCGAGAGCAGACTTGTTCTTCCTGGTGTTACATATCTCAAAAGACATTAAAATTATCTTGACAAGGTGTTAAAAGATCTTAAAATGAAAAAGAGCATTTTCAGACTGATAAATCTAGCTTTGTTCAATATACCATAATTGCATTTGAAAAAGGGAAAAATTATTTTCTATTGCATGTAGGAAGGCAGACTGCCAGGAAAGAAAAAAAAAACATACCAAAGAAAACCCCCCCAAAAAACTAGCCAAAACCAAAAAGCTGTAAACATTTGTAGTGTCCATCAATTAGCAAGTAAAGATAACTTGAGTGCCGCAAATTACATGTTGAATTTCATTTTAAGGCGAATGGCATTATCTGTGAGGAGCTGTGCCAGACATCAGAATCTTTGGTTAAGTTTTTAGCTTAAGTTAAATCATGCCTAAATTTTCAAAATGATGTTACTAATCAGCATTATGCAAATAATTCTGTTTTTCTGTATTAACTTCTGGCTTTTTGACATTTTATAGGGTTTTAGATAAATACATACACACTGGGAAAATGACCTATTTGGTTACAGTTCAGATGAAGAGCATCTGACTGTGCGTGTTGCTAGAGAGGAGCCCTCCCTCTTCTTAGCAAATCCATTTCCTCCTTTTAAATTGCAAGTAAAATCATACAAGGAAGAACAAGGGAATATCATCAGTCTGATTTAACTCTCAGCACTGGAAAAATGTGACCCCTAAACCTCATTAGACCAGAGAGTTTGAAAGGGAATTTATCCAAAGGCTGCGTTTTGACCCTGTAAAGCAAAACAAACTTAGTTAACTGTTTTCCTAGGAAGAAGAATATGCAGAAGGTTATATAGCAGGTCAGTGCAAACAACTGGAAGTAGCCACTTCGTTCTTGGCTCATCTTTTCTCATAAACACAAAACTGAGCCTGCCAGCTACTCAGCCCTGAGTTTTCATTTGCTTGCTTCTTTGTGTTGCAGTCCACATTTTTGGGTGGCCAGCATATTGCTGGATCTTTCTGGAAAATTATAGGTAACTCTAGCACTCTGTTAAAAAATGTATGCTAGTAAACTGAACAACAAAAATAAGAATTATATAGCTGTACTAGTTGCTCTGCTAAGCCTTACCTTTACCTGTTAACTCTGCATATCCCTGTATGTCTTACAGATATGGTTAAAGCAAGCCAAGTTGTCGTTCAGTACATTTTAACAAATTAGTAGGGAAAGGAGAAACCAGCGTATTCATACGAGGGATACTGGTGCAAAGTCTAGCCACATCAGGCCTGGAGCCCCCAGGGAAGTCTCGTCCTCGGCGGCACGTCTCTGACCTCCTCCTGCCTCCCTCTCCTCAGCCATGTGTAGCTTTGGAGTCAGTGGTCACACCGCATTTGGGTGCTGTGCAGAAAGGGGGGATGTCTTATCAATAGTTCTTGTAACAGTATTAAATAAAAGTTTCTTCTGTGTTCACATTGTGCAAAGCAAACTGTGCTGCTGAGAACTTGATTTCCTGTAGTCTTAGACATCTTCTGGTGTTAAACAAGTCTGTTTTTCTCCCTTCATCCCTGCAAGATAAATAACATTCTGTTCTATTTTACTGTATTTTATTTTTGCAGTATATCAATTACACGAGTCACAGCAGACATCTCGCTAGCCAAACGCTCAGTATTAAACAACCCCAGTAAGCATGCGATAATAGAGCGATCTAACACGAGATCAAGCCTAGGTAAGTGCCTATAATGATGCTATCTACAAATTGGCTGTAAAGTATACTACTCTCAATTCATATCTGTAAGCTAAAAATAGCCTTCTCTCTGCTGTGAGAAAATGACGATTCCCATAATTCAGAAATCCTGGCACTAGAAATCATTTTTAAATCACTACAAGATAAACTTCACGTAGTGCTGATTTTGGTTTATCCTGCTTGTGTTCAGTTTTTGTGTTTTGCTGTTCGCCTCAGTGGGGAGAAATAGCCATCCATTGAAGAGATGTTCTTCTGGTTAAGTAGAAGTTATGGTTCCAGAATACTGGAAATTTTATGGATATTATTGAAATTATGCATTATCTTTGATAAGTTTGCTAGTAGTGATAGCTACTGATACTAGACCTGAAAAAAATTATTGAAGTACGCATTTTCTGAATGTAATATCAGTTTAAACAAATGCTGACATTCGTACAAAAAAATTAAGGATGGAATAGGGGAGACGTTTTAAAAAAACTATATGCCTAGTTTCTTAGCGTACATACCTGTCATCTTACATGAGTCTTTTTGTACTGAAGCTAGTCCAGTTGTATAAGTAATTAGACATTGATTAGCCAGCAAGAAAAACAAGCTTAGCTGGGAAGGTGTAACTAAATGTCACCATCTACAGTACAGGTGGGTACACTGGAGCTTGTCATCCCAAGGTGTCCTTAAACAGGAAAAGGTGGTCACTTTGGAGCCTGAGCTCATGTGGACTGACCTCAGCCTTTCCTCTAGCACGAGGTGTGTTACGAGACTCTGCTGCCACAGCTGGCTCATTCCCTGTGGAGGGACACCTGGAGGTAGCCGAGATGAATCCCACCAGGAGTCTACGTACTCACGTTAGGGCACTCAGCTGGCCTACGGGACAGCCAAGTTCAAGTCCCTGCTCAAACACAGAAAAGGAGGAACCTGAATTCACATGCCCTAGATCACAAGGTGAATGCTCCAGCCAAGTCTCTGTCTTTACGAGGCTGCAGGCTTCTCTTAGTAGCCTTTGAGAGAGCCTGGTTTCCCCTGAACACAGCATGTATCTTGAAATCGTGTAAAATTTGTGGAAAAGAGTCTAATTCATCCTACTAAGTGGGTTCTTATCAGTTTTATAACAAAATTTCTGAGTACGCCTGTACTTAAACTGTTTAACGTTTGCCTAATATAGCTGCCCTTAAAAAGTTTGACTTCCTTTTCTTGACAATTTGCTTCTTAAAACCCGTACTTTCAACTGTGTGGAGGCTGTGAATCTTTACTTCCAAGTAGTCTGATAGCTTCCAAGTATGTCTTCATTTAAGTGTTTTGAAATATCAAAATGCAGTGTACTGTAACAATATAATGAATATCTTTACACACAAGAATATTATTCTGTGTGAGTTTCAGTCCTGTCACCGAAGTCTGTTTAATAATCTAATGAAAAGATAAAGTGTCATATGTTTTGAATAGAACTGAGAATTGGTAATAAAGATGGAGGTCACCCACTCATGGAAAAAATAGAACCATGGTGATTAATTTCCCAATCTGAACATCAAAGCATGTGCAATTTTGTGCAATACTGCACAAATATATGCAGCATTAAAAAGCATATCATTTATTCCTCATGCTAACATATTTTCATATATGTAAAACAGGTATCACAAAAATTTATACAGGAAAAAAAAAATCTATTAAAAATAAATGCAGCCCAATCGTGTACACCTTTATCTCATGGTAACCTTACCCTTAAGAACATTAACATCTTTTCTTTGGGTCAAGGTATTTTTTTCATAGAGGTATTTAAATTGGTATTTAATTCTAATAATCTAGCAGGGTTTTGAAATTCGGTGGTGACTTGAACAGCATTTCAGCTATTTGTTTCTGGGCATTTTTTTATTAAAATAATGAGAAAACTTCATCAAATTATTAGAAGCTGCCATTAACACATGCCAAGCTTTGCATCTGAATTGCTTAAAGACTCGGCTGTTCCTGGGCAAGGTCCAGCCATGATGCTGAGCAGAACCTGCCCCCAGCAGATTGGATTGGGGCAGCCAAAGAGAACTAGAATAAGAAGGTGCTCTTCTTTCAGCTTTCAATCCCTACTTTGCTGTGCAGTATGGAGTAAAGTTGTTTACTTCAAAGATGTTTGACTGCGGGAGCAGGTGGCTGCACTAAGGCGGAACGGCAAGTAATTGATTATGGAACAGGTTGGATGGAGTTACGGAGCAGGAGCCGGGATAGTTGAACCTGCTGGTGAAGTACCTCCAGACATGGGGTAAACCATGGGAGGACAAAAAGCAGCCAGGAAGGGGGTCAGGGAGGGAAACGATGTGGTAGCAGTGGGTTGGGAGGAAAACCTGAGACAGGATAAAACAACCTGGAGTCAGAAAAGGGAATTGCTTTTGTAAGGCAATGGGAAAACCCTTGTGCAAGGGCGAAAGAAAGAAAATACAAGGTGTTACAGCCTGTTCCCTTGCTTGCCTGCAGTGCACCTCAAGGTAGAAATAGAGTCAGAATCAGAAAATACCATTGTAGCCTGCTGGTAGGTGGCCTCTTCTAGCAGTGGTTCACAAAGATGACAACATGCCACTGCTGTGAGCACTTAGTTGCTCAAGTAGCAGAGGTGAGTGGCAACATCACACCTTATAGTGGAATTTTTATTTTCTGTTTGTGTGATGAATCTGCTATAAGTCAACAAAAAATGCTATTACAACAATATTATTAGGTTTATGAACTCAAGTTGTGCAAAATAAAGGTTAGCAAGTAATAGTAAGAAATTTAACTGTACAATTTATTAGTACCTTTACATTATGTAGGTTGTGATTCAGTCTTTGGTCATGTGTTTGCAGACTACTTTTCCACCAGTCCTCTGCCTCCGTTTGTTTTTTTTTTTAAATGTACAAACTAATGGTAGGGAATTGGAATTGCTGTTTTGCTTGCTATGAAATTTGTGCAGTGTATGAGGCAAGAAACTTCAGGAAGGCAAGTGAAGTTCTTTAAAAGCACAATAGGGCATTTTCAATTTAGATTTGTGGGGGGCAGGACAGAAAATGGTGATTTGACCAAAATTTTTTGTGGCAGTAAATCAAACAGTTTTAACAGGCAAGATTTCTTGGAGCCAAGATTGAATTCCCCATCGTGAAGAGGAAACTCCTTCATGCCCCTTCTTCTACCCTCCGAGGGGCTCATACCCCAGTAATTAAGAGACACATTTGGCATGTAGGACATGCAGAGTCAAACTTCTGCTGTGTCTGGTTTGGAACAGGGATCTGAATTTCAGCCTTAAGTATACTGAGCGCTGGGCGATCTCTGTTGATTCTCTGTGGAAAAAAGGGATAGCCCCAGCGGGAGGGGGGGTCTGCTGCCTGTGAGCCCACGGCCTGTACGCTACAGCGCCGCCGCCTGACGTGCCGTGAGCCTCTCTCCTGGGGCGCGGCAGCCTGCACCCCTCACCCAGCACCAGCAAGTAGCCCCTTGGCACCCCCGAAGGGCTCGGTGCCAGAGGTGGCACCCCGTTAAAGCTCACCCAGTTAGTGCAGAGCGGGCCGTGCCTGCGGCACGGTGACTGCCCGTGCCTGATGGAGGCGCGGAGGGAAGGGGCATCCCCCGGCTCCCTTCCCCACCGGACGCCTCCGCGCTGCC